AGCTCCAGAACCGCAAGCCCAAAGTAAACCTTTTCTCTCCATCGTTAGCTTGTATCGGGATTTGTTACAGGAAAGAGACGCTCACTATCATACAATGCTGGTTCCATATTTGAGGTTGGTGACCATTGCTTTTTTCTTTGGAGCTGAGTTTACACAGTATAATTATCACAATACAAGCAGCATCTCGGGGCTGGTGCTGTGTCATAGCGGTAAGCCGCCGCCTGCAGTGCCCGCATCCCATATGGGCACCAGTTCAAAGTCCCCGCTGCTCCCTTCCGATCCAGCTCTCTGCTGTGCCTAGGAAGCAGTAGAAGATGGCCCTAGTCCTGGCCCCTGCCCCGCATGGGAAACTTGGAAGAAGCCCTGGCTTCAGATCGGCCGAGCTCTGGCCATGTGCGCCATCTGGGGAGTGATCAGCAAATGGAAGACCTCTCTCTGCCTCTCCTCTCTGTAACTCTACCTTTCAAATAATAAATAAGTAAGGCAACATCTCAGATGTTTTACAAAAGTGGATGCTTTTAACGCTGAACCTTTTTTTTTTTTTTTTTATTATTTATTTGAAAGGAGAGAAGGATGGAGAGGCGGACTGACAGATCTTCCAACTGCTGGTTCACTCTCCAAGTGCCCCTAGACTTGGGTTTTAAAGGGACCCAATGCAGCGGGGCAGCCCGACTGAAAGGTCAAGGATAAATTCAAACCACATGAAGCAATGTACAGATTAACAAACACTGACTTTTAAGGGGAAAAAAAGATTTCATTTATTTATTTGAAGGGTAGAGTACAGTGAGAGAAAGGTCTTCCACCTGCAGTTCACTCCCCAAATGGCCGATCCAAAGCCGCAGCCAGGAGATTCCTTGGACTTGGACCGTCTTCCGCTGCTTTCCCAGGCCATAAGCAGAGAACTCGATCAGAAGAGAGCACTGGGCCCGGAACCCAGCACCCATATGGGATGCCGGCACCACAGACAGAGCTTAGCCCACTAATCCATAGTGCCGCCCCCAACACTGACATTTAAGTGTGAGGCCACACGGTGTCACACTGTGGTTCCGTGAGATGAGTGTCCTCGTGCACGTTGACATCCTCCTGGCCTCGTTCCTGCCTGTCTTGCTCCCCGGTTCTGTGCATCAGTCAGCTTACTGAGGGCTGCCGCTGGGAACGTGCTGTGGTCAGCAGCCAAGCGCGAGTGTAGACTTGGTCCTGCCTCCCCGCTGGAAGATGACTCCAGCGCGAGTGTAGACTTGGTCCTGCCTCCCAGCTGGGCAGAAGATGACAAGCGCGAGTGTAGACTTGGTCCTGCCTCCCAGCTGGGGGAAGATGACACCAGATCAGCGAGGGCCTGGACTGTGGTGCCGGCATCCCTGGCTCTCTCCCAAGCAGGGGTGGTTTGCAGATAGCCCTGAGTCTGGCCTGGACGTCACAGGAAGCTGGTCTTCTGTCTGCTTTGGGCCCGTGCTGTGTGCAGAAATGGCTCTCAACTGCGTTACCTAATGCATTCTTCTTAACCTAATGTATTTATAAGAGTTGCATTATTGTTATTATTTACATTTGATTTGAAAGGCAGCAGACTGAGACAGACAACGACCTTCCGTCTGCTGGTTCCCTTTCCAGATGCCACTACAGCCGGGACTGGGGCCATGCTAGAGCCAAGAGCCCGATGCACACAGACTGCACAGCTTAAAACTCAGAAATGGATTCTCTCAGTCGGCAGGCTGGAGGTCCAAGGTCGGGTGTTGGCAGGATCGATTTGTTTTTTAAAGATTTATTATTTGAAAGGCAGAGGTTAGAGAGAGAGAGGAATCTTCCATCCCCATGGCTCACTCCACAAACGGCCACAGCGGCTGGTGCTCGGGCCAGTCAGGAGCCAGGAGCTCCTTCCCCATCTCCCACGTGGGTGCAGGGGCCCAAGCACTTGGCCATCCTCCACTGCTTTCCCAGGCCACAGCAGAGAGCTGGATCGCAAGAGGAGCAGCCAGGACTCGAACTGGCACCCACAAGGGGTGCTGGCACTTCAGGCGCAGCTTTACCAGCTCTGCCACAGCGCCGGCTCCGGCAGGATTGATCTGGAGGCTCCCAGGAAGAATCCCTGGCAGCTGCCAGGCTGTGTCCCCTCCCGGCCATCTGCACCATCACACGGCTGCCTGCCCTGTCTCTTTAAGGCCGCCTGTCCTTGGACACACAGACTGCGCCCTGCCTCCCAGATGCAATCCCGTTCTGGCTTGTAGCTGGTCTCTTGCCTCCATCTTTGACTCCGTTTTCTCTCAGGAGCTGTGCCCCTGAGCTCCCCTGGCCCGGCCAGGCCTCGGCTGCTTGCACAGGGAGGTGGAGCTACTTCAGGGCCGCCGATGCTGCCCTCTCCCCTGGGAGCACTCACCGCCGGTTACTTGCCCGTCTTAGCCCATGCAGGCCGTCTCCTAGCGCGCCCGAGAAAACGCCCTGGTTTTTGGGACTGTCGACTTTTAGGGCAAGTTGTGAGCATCCAGAACTCAGGAAAGGCTCAGTCCCGGGGGGTGCCAATTGTGGTGCAGGGGCCTTGTCTTCCGCAGAGTTAGGCGGCCAGCCCGGTGACCCTAAGAGACTGAGGGCCAAGCAGGCGCAGCAGAGGGTGGATGCGAGCTGAGCAGGCAGGACCAGGTGGATGTCAGAGCCTCTGAGAGCCGCGGGCCCTCGGGAGGTGCCTGGAAGAGCCGCGTATGCCGGAGGGATGTGGCGCTGTTTTGGGGTGGGAGGGGCGGGATCCCAGCCTCGGGCAGGAGGGGACATGGTTGGCTGCAGGCTCAGGCCAGCAAGCTAAAGTGACCGGCACAGTCCAGAGGACCAGGCCCCCTTGTTCAGGTCGTGGTCTGGGGCCCTCCGCCCTGCTCCTGCCAGTCTCAGGAGTCCTTGGAACAGCAGAGAGGGACCGCTGCTGGCCCACTTGCCCTGTCCCTCTCCCCTCCCTGGAGGGCCCCTACTGCCATCCCTGCCACTCCACTGTTCCCCTGCAGGCAAGGGAAGTGGCAGCCAACAGAAGCACCGGTCAGTGCACGGCTGGGGTGGGAGCTGAGCGGTGTCCTCCTGCGTGAGTGTGTGGACGTGGTTCAAGTCCCGGCCGCTCCAGTTCCAATCCAGCTCCCTGCTAATGGAAAGCAGCAGAGGATGGCCCAAGTGCTTGCCCCTGCCACCCACCTGGAGACCCAGGTGAAGCTCCAGCTTCAGCCTGGCCCAGCCCTGGCTGTTGAAGCCGTTTTGGGGAGTGAACCAGATAGAAGATCTCATGCACGGTGCCCCGCTACCCCCTTTAACTCTGCCTTTCAAAAAATAAATCCTCGGGGGTGGGGGAGTGGCCACCATGGCTCCAGTCATCACATCTGTGTCCAAGGCACAGAGAAGGAAGAGCAGTGCCAGCTCTCGGGTCCTTCCCCAGGTATCCACTGTAGGCTTCCATCTCTGGGCAGAGCCGTGTCACACCAGGCAAGGCGGGAGGGTGTATCCCCCAGTGGTGGCAGGGGCGAGGGTATTGGCCAGCCACAGCCTCTGGCATGAGTAGGGCTTCTCCCCGCGGGGGCCGATGGCTTCCTGCACCTGAGGAGTGATAGGGCTGCCAGGTGGCCCCCTCGGGGGCCTCTCCCAGGGACCCGCTTGTCTGCCTGCTGAACTGTGCCGCCGTGGTGCGCATCCCACCTGCAGGGTCATGACCCAGGGGTGCGCTGTGTGCGCATCCACGCCTGCAGGGTCGTGACCCGGGGTTGCGCTGTGTGCGCGTGAACCACGCCTGCAGGGTCGTGACCCGGGGGTGCGCCGTGTGCGCGTCCACGCCTGCAGGGTCATGACCCAGGGGTGCGCCGTGTTGCGCGTGGCCACGCCTGCAGGGTCGTGACCCGGGGGTGCGCTGTGTGCGCGTGACCACGCCTGCAGGGTCGTGACCCTGGGTGCGCCGTGTGCGCGTCCACGCCTGCAGGGTCGTAACCCGGGGGTGCTCCGTGTGTGGTCCACACCTGCAGGGTCGTGACCCGGGGGTGCCCCATGTGCGCATTCCACACCTGCAGGGTGTGACCCGGGGGTGCGCCGTGTGCACGTCCACGCCTGCAGGGTCGTGACCCGGGGTGCGCCGTGTGCACTTCCACTAGCCCGCAGGGTCGTGACCCGGGGGTGCCCCGTGTGCGCGTCCACGCCCGCAGGGTCGTGACCCGGGGGTGCGCCGTGTGCGCGTGGCCACGCCTGCAGGGGTCGTGACCCGGGGGTGCGCCGTGCACATCCACACCTGCAGGGTCGTGACCCGGGGGTGCCCCATGTGCGCATCCACGCCTGCAGGGTCGTGACCGGGGTGCGCCGTGTGCGCGTCCACGCCTGCAGGGGTCGTGACCCGGGGTGCGCCGTGTGCGCGTGGCCACGCCTGCAGGGGTCGTGACCCGGGGGTGCGCCGTGTGCGTCCACACCTGCAGGGTCGTGACCCGTGGGTGCCCCGTGTGCACGTCCATGCCTGCAGGGTCGTGACCCGGGGGTGCGCCGTGGGCGCCCACAGCCTGCAGGGTCGTGACCCGGTGGTGCGCCGTGTGCGCGTCCACGCCTGCAGGGTCGTGACCCGGGGTGCGCCGTGTGCGCGTCCACGGCCTGCAGGGTCGTGACCCGGGGGTGCGCCGTGTGCGCGTCCACGGCCTGCAGGGTCGTGACCCGGGGGTGCGCCGTGTGCGTCCACACCTGCAGGGTCGTGACCCGGGGGTGCCCCGTGTGCACGTCCATGCCTGCAGGGTCGTGACCGGGTGCCCCGTGTGCGCGTCCCACGCCTGCAGGGTCGTGACCCGGGGGTGCGCCGTGGGCGCCCACGGCCTGCAGGGTCGTGACCTGGGGGTGCCCCGTGTGCGCGTCCACGCCTGCAGGGGTCTTGACCCGGGGGTGCGCCGTGTGCGCGTCCACGCCTGCAGGGTTGTGACCCGGGGTGCGCCGTGGGCGCCCACGCCTGCAGGTCGTGACCGGGGTCGTGGGAGCCACCCTGCCCAGCCCTTCCTCTCTCACGTCCTCAGGGCATTCAGTTTCTGGTGGAGAATGACCTGCTGCAGAGTTCCCCGGAGGACGTGGCCCAGTTCCTGTACAAAGGAGAAGGCCTGAATAAGACGGTCATCGGGGACTACCTGGGGGAAAGGTGAGCCGGGGAGGGGCCCGGGCAGCCACCCCTCTGCTAGGCCTGCCTGAGCCCACGGGGCCTCTGCCTCTTCCCCCACAACCGCCCAGAGCGTAGGTCCTGACGGTCACCATGGACTTTGAACCAGAAGGCGGTGGGGTCAGACTTCGGCCTGTGCCTCAGCGAGGAGTCCACTCCACCTGGTGGAGGCGAGGGCGGGCGGCGGGGGCAGGAGAGGGCCACGTGCACCAACGCCCCGCGCCGTCTCAGTCGCTGGTTCCTGCTTCCGCTTCTTGCGGGGAATTCTTGGTTGGGGAGGGGGGGAGGTGGTAGACCCACAGCTCCTCCTGTGAGGCCAGCAGGACCTGGCTCCGAAACCAGGCAGAGACCCACGGCCTCGGACGCGTCTGCAGCAGGCCGCCGGCAGTGCTGGGCCTCCCCGAGCGCGCCCCCAGTGCACACAGGCAGCGCACAGGCGCCCGGCGCTCAGCACTGCTTCCCTGCCCTCCCAGGGACGAGTTTAACATCAAGGTTCTTCAGGCTTTTGTCGAACTGCACGAGTTTGCCGACCTCAACCTCGTACAAGCATTAAGGTAAGCTGCTCCCGGCGAGCTGGCCAAGGCCCAGGCGGCACCTGTGCGCTGCTCTCGGTGAGGGGCCGTGACAGCCAGCTCCTGTGCTGGCGAGACCGAAGAGCAGGGACGCATGTGTAGGGCAGGCGTCGCACCTGCTCCACATGACACACACACACACACACACACACACACACACGCATCCTGTGGGTTCCTTGGCTGCCTTTTGGGTTGAGGCTGCTGGGCCCTGTGTGCCCCGAGCACCAAGCACACGGGTACCCCCGAGTGCCAGGGAGGGTGTGGCCCTGCCACCATCAGTGGCCACCACCAGGCCCCTGTCTTTGTCCAAGGACAGTCAGGTGTCCCTGCAGCATTGGGATGTGCGGCCCTGTGAGGGGTCTGCAGTGCCCCCGCACACCTCCTGTGTTGCTGGACGGAGCTTGTCTTGTTTCCTTCTGCTGTCCAGGCTGGGCCTCGTGGGCTCTCTGTCTGGTCTGGGTCTTGCACCCAGGGCCAGCACGGGCAGAGTGGCAGGGACAGGGGTCTGGAGGGAGCCACCACTGTCTCGGGACGAGAGGGCCGTGGCCAGGTCTTGTCTGGGCCTCAGGCTCAGAGCTGCTCTGTGCTGTGCTCCTGGTACATGGCCCGTTTTCCCCGCGAGCTGACTTGGGCTGCTCAGGGAGGTGTTGGCAGTGGGCGGCGTGCTCAGCGGCCGCGGTGCAGGTTCTCAGATCAGACTGGAAGCCGTCCTGAGACAGGCGTGGGCCTGGCAAGCGCAGGAGGTGCGTCCGTGGCCGGCCACTGCCACTCCGGTTCCCGAGGGTGCAGGAAATCCTGTGGGTGTTGAGGCTGGTGCAGACCAGTGTGGACGGGCAGGGGCTACCCCACAGCTGCCCCCAGCAGGCCCCGAGGGGCAGGGAGAGGGCAAAGCCATTGCCACGGAGGCAGTGGGCAGAGGGGGCTGGGGGCGGGGCCGGAGGCTTCTCTGAGGGCCGCTGTTCTACAGGAAACAGATCGCCTGAGGGCCAGGGCGAGGGGCAGACTGGGCCATCTGCCTGCTGTGGGTGGTGGGGCAGGGAGACCACGCAGGGGCAGCGGGCAGGGGGCGGCTTTGCTGACCAGCCTGACAATGCTGGCACAGGTCCTGGCTGAGAGGGCCCAGGGTGTTCAGAGCGAGGGGAGGTGGAGCGAGGCCCCGAGGCAGCATCTTCGAGAGTTGCCGAGAAGAGGTGGGGTAGGCAGGAGCAGGGTCCCCCCAACCGTTGGGAGGCAGGATCAGTATCTGAAGCATGGAGAACCCAGGCCCCCATAGGCCCATACGCAGCTCTCGTCTGCAGGCCGAGGTCACCGCAGTGGCAGGCCCTGCCCCACAGCTGGCGTGAGGCCTGCCAACCGCAGGGAGTGGGACAGGCCACGGCCCTACCCCAGAGGAGCAGGCGCTGTGTAGACCGAAAAGTCAAGAAGGCCGGGCTGGGTGCTGGGAGTGGCCACAGTGGAGGTGGGGTGCCGGGGCCCCCAGCAAGAAGAGCGCATCTGAGGACCGGAGCGTCTGCTCCCGGCCTGGTCCCTGGGCGGCGGATCCTGCCTGTGTGGCTGGCCCGGGTCCCGGGAGGAGGACATGGCGTGTTTGCTGTCGGGGCCACGTGGGAGCCCGTGGGGCCCGTGGTAGGTGCAGGAGATGGCGGTAGTGGGGGCGGAGAAGCCCCGGGAGTCCGGGCGGTAATGGTTTTTGGGTTTGGATTTGATTGGAGAGACAGAGCGCTCCCCTCTGCTGGTTTGCCCCTCAGACGCCTGCAGGGCGTCTCTGAGCCAGGCCAGAGCCAGGTGCCAGGGGCTCACACGGGTGGCAGGAGCCCAGCTACGTGAGCCGTCACTGCTGCCTCCCGGGGCCTGTCGGGAGTCTAACCAGGATGCAGGCCCAGGCCCTCTGATGGGGGACGCAGCTGTCCTGGGGGGCGGTGTGACTGCTGGCCAGATACCCCCTCCCGTGGTGCTGCTCCCGTCTGCCACAGAAGGGGGAGTGGCCGGCACACAAGCCCTGAGTCAGCGAATGGGAGGGCCTGGGTCTCCTGTTCCCACCCTGGGAGGAAGCAGCCTTGCTGGGGCTGGGCAGGGGCCGGGTGGGGGCCGCGCCTGCCCCCCGTGAGCTCGTCGCCTCCCCACAGACAGTTCTTGTGGAGCTTCCGACTGCCCGGGGAGGCGCAGAAAATCGACCGTATGATGGAGGCCTTCGCCTCGCGCTACTGCCTGTGCAACCCCGGCGTCTTCCAGTCCACAGGTGGGCGGCCCTGCCTTTATCCCCGCCCCTTTCACTTGCCAGTGAAAGCCAGTGACACAGCCCTGGCCTGTGACCCGGGCCTGCTCTCTGTGAGCTGGGATGGCCCTGCCCTGGGCCCCGGCCAGCCCCTCTCACATGCCCTAGAGGACGGCCTGCGGGCCAGGCTGCCTTGGCAGGGAGCTGTCGGCTGTCCGCCCCCCCCCCCCCCGCCTCTCCTTGTGGGACTCTGGGCCCTGGCCGCTGACCCCGCCACGCGCTCCCCCCTCCCCCCGCAGACACGTGCTACGTGCTGTCGTTTGCCATCATCATGCTCAACACCAGCCTGCACAACCACAATGTGCGCGACAAGCCCACGGCCGAGCGCTTCATCACCATGAACCGTGGCATCAACGAGGGCGGCGACCTGCCCGAGGAGCTGCTGCGGGTGCGTTCCCCCTCCCCCTCCCCCTCCCCTCCCCCTGCCCTCCCCCTCCTCCCCCTCCTCCTGTACCTCCCCTCCCCCTGCCCCTCCCCCTCATCCTCCCTCTCCTCCTCCCCCTCCTCCTCCTGCCCGAGGAGCTGCTGCGGGTGCGTTCTCCCTCCCCCTCCCCCTCCCCTCCCCCTGCCCTCCCCCTCCTCCCCCTCCCCCTGCCCCTCCCCCTCCCCTGCCCCTCCCCCTCATCCTCCCTCTCCTCCTCCCCCTCCTCCTCCTGCCCGAGGAGCTGCTGCGGGTGCGTTCCCCCTCCCCCTCCCCCTCCCCTCCCCCTGCCCTCCCCCTCCTCCCCCTCCTCCTGTACCTCCCCCTCCCCCTGCCCCTCCCCCTCATCCTCCCTCTCCTCCTCCCCCTCCTCCTCCTCCCCCTCTCCCTCCCCCTCCTCCCCCTCCTCCTCCCCCCTCTCCCTCCCCCTCCTCCCCCTCCCCCTCCCCCTCTCCCTCCCCCTCCCCCTCCTCCCCCTCCCCCTCCCCTGCCCCTCCTCCTCATCCTCCCTCTCCTCCTCCCCCCCTCCTCCTCCTCCCCCCTCTCCCTCCCCCTCCTCCCCCTCCTCCTCCCCCCCTCCCTCCCCCTCCTCCTCATCCTCCCTCTCCTCCTCCCCCCCTCCTCCTCCTCCCCCCTCTCCCTCCCCCTCCTCCCCCTCCTCCTCCCCCCCTCCCTCCCCCTCCTCCCCCTCCCCCTCCCCCTGCCCCTCCCCTCTCCCCTCCCCTCCCCCTCATCCTCCCTCTCCTCCTCCCCCTCCTCCCCCTCCCTCTCCCCTCCTTCCCACTCCTCCTCCTGCCCCTCCTCCTCCCCCGCCTCCCCTCCCCTGCCCCTTCTCCTCCCCCTCCTCCCCTACCCCTGCCCCTACCCCTGCCCCTACCCCTCTCCTCCCCCTCCCCTTCCCCCTCCTCCCTCTCCTCCCCCTCCCCCCCTCCCCCTCCCCCCTCCCCCTCCCCCTCCCTCCCCCTCCCCCTCAGTGTAAGTCCCCTGGGGGAGCAAGCGGAGGCAAGGCCGGCACGCACTCGCCGCGGCCCTGACCCGGCGCCCACTCTCTCCCGCCCGCAGAACTTGTACGAGAGCATTAAGAACGAGCCATTCAAGATCCCCGAGGACGACGGGAATGACCTGACGCACACGTTCTTCAACCCCGACCGGGAGGGCTGGCTCCTGAAGCTGGGTGAGCCGCCTGCGCCCCCGGCGGTCCTGGCCCCTCGCCCAGGGCAGCAGCGCCCGCGGGGCTCCTCCCAGCTCCTCCCAGCGAGCACCCCTGCCTTAGGAAGCGCAGTGCGGCCAGCGGCCGCCTCTCCGCGTCGTGGCGTTCCGAGCGAGGCCACGTTCAGTGTCCACGTCAGAGTAGCGCCCGGGCTGCAGGGCCCAGCCCAGACACCTGCTGAGTTAGCGTCCAGATGGGCCCGGGCGCCCGCGCCTTTATCCGCAGACAGCCTGCGTGCCTTCCTCCCGGTTTGGTGTGGCTGTGATTTCTGACGAGTGGTTTAAATGTGCCTTCTTGTTGTTTTCCTTCTGCCTGTGGCTCCCACCTTTGTGTTCTGTGACGGGCTGTCCCTGCTTGTCCTGCGTTAGGAGGTACGTACCCCTGGCTTCCGCCCCGCCTCGGCGGCTCATTCCTCTCCCGGTTCCTGTCCCTCACGTTGGTCTGTGTGACGCTCCGATCTGTGGCTGCCATCCATCTGATCCATGTGGCTTTGGACTCGCTGGGGTCAGTGTCCTGCACAGTGTGGTGAGGGGCCCGGGACAGCCTCCGGCCTGCATGCTCGCGGGTGCTGGGCCTGCGGCACCCGGCGGGCGGTCGTAGGCCTCCTGAGGGTTACCTGGGCGCCGGGGGTTGGAGTTGTGAGTGGTGCCGCCCGCCTCTCTGAGCTCAGACTGCTGCCGCGGAGCAGCAAGGGCGCCAGGCCCAGAGGACAGAGTGACTGGAACGTCGCACTCGGGGGAGGCGGTCCTGGCTCGGCGACCGGCACCGGCCTCCCCGAGCCCCCGGGGGTTCCACCCTGGACGTCGCGCCCGCCTCTCTGTGGTTCTGCGGAAGCTGGGGGAGTTGTAGATCTTTGCCCAGAGCTTTAGGTGGGGCCTTGGGTGGGGCTGGAGCGACCTCAGGTCCCTAGTGCCCTTGAGGGGCCGGGAACCGTTCCACTCGCTTGGCACGAGCTGGGCAGGGGGCAGCTGTGCGGACGTGAGTCCGTGAGGGAAGTCGAGGACTGCGCCCTCCGTCTGTGGACGTGCTGAGGTGGAGCAGGCCCTGGGGCAAGTGCGCCCAGTGGCAGCCGGGAGGATGGGCTGGCACCAGACACCCTGGCACCCGCAGCCTCCCTGGAGGCAGCGGCTGAGTCTGGAGGCCTCTTCCACGCAGGCCCGGCGCCAGCCACGGGAGGAGCTGAGGGCCGGCCACTGGGCACGTGGTCCAGAGCTGGCTTTGAAGAGCTGCCAGGGAGCCGGGCTGGCGCGGCCGGGCGCGGTGAGGCGGGTGTGTGTCTCCAGGCCTGTTCTCAGGACGTGGCCTTGCCGGGCGACGCTCACGTGGCGGGTTTGGTTTTAGAGCAGGGGGCTCTGACGCGGGGGCTCCCCAGGGCGCGAGAGCATCGTGGCACCAGGCGCGGCTCACGGCTGTTAGGTGAGAAGCCCGGGAGTGGGATCCTACAGTCGAGTGTGGTAAACACACAGGTGTGGCCAGAGTCGCTCTGTCGTGAAGTCTGCACACGCGTGTCGGTGTGTGTGCACACGTGCCATGTAAAGCCGGGGCGCGAGGCACCCTGCCAGGACAGCGTGGGTGCTTGTGCCGAGTGCAGGGAGAGCACAGGGTGAGCACAGAGCTTCGGCGCCGCAGGGCACTGCGGCTCCTGTCGGAGGGCCTCACCCCGGCCCCTGCCGGGCCTGGCTCCAAGCTGACCCTGGGCCGAGCTGCATCTGGGCCGCTCCAGCCTGCAAGGCTCCCGTCTAGGAAACCCTCCTCCCTGGCCACTGGTGATGGCAGATGGGGACAGGCCCTGGGGGTGGGCGGGCAGCCAGGCCCTGCTTGCTCCCTTGGACGGGAACACAGAGGCAAAGGCAGGTGCTGGACAGAGACGGCCACTGGCGCTACCGGGGTGAGTCTCGGAGCTCCTGGTCTGATGCCGAGCGCTCGGAGCCCTTGGGGGCCGCATGCAGGCAGGGGCGAGGCTGGCGTCTGTGTCACTGGACGCCCAGCTGCTGTTGGAGGATGGCGGGCAGGGGAGGGGCGGTGCAGGCAGGGGCGAGGCTTGCGGCTGTGTCACTGGACGCCCAGCTGCTGTTGGAGGATGGCGGGCAGGGGAGGGGCGGTGCAGGCAGGGGCGAGGCTTGCGGCTGTGTCACTGGACGCCCAGCTGCTGTTGGAGGATGGCGGGCAGGGGAGGGGCGGTGGGCTGGAGGACCTGGCCTTGAAGACAGCAGCTCAGAGCGGAAGGCTGGGCAGGGAGGCAGAGCAGAGCCCAGGCCGGGGGCAGGGGTGTGGTTCCAGCCCGGAGGTGAGAGCCGTGCTCACGGCTGGACATCCAGGGCTGAGGAGGGAAGATGGGCGTGGGGGCTCCCTCTCTACCCCCACCCCCGCCGCCGCCGCCGCCCTGGGTCTCTGCCCCGGGCAGATTGGGCTCAGCCAGCCTGGGACGTTCTGCTCCCACGGATTCTGTCACGTCTGTCTCGTGTGGGCCCTGGCTTTTCTGCTAGTGCCCTGTCTCGGCGTGGGGGCGCTGCGTGGGCTCCCTGGGGTCAGGGAGCGTGTGCCCCAGCTCCTCCTGGCGGGGGAGGGGGGCAGAAGCGAGGGGAAGCGCGGGGAGGCCGCCTCTCAACTGATGCCCCAGGCGGAGCAGGTTTTTCTCTGCATTCTCGCTTTACCTCGCGCCGGGAGCTCGGGCCAGCACCGCAGGCCGCGTGGCAGCCCCTGCTGAGCGTGAGGGGAGGGGGAGGGGTGCACACGCGTGTGCGTGTGTGTGTTGTGTGTGTGCGCTCTGTATCTTGTTAGAAGAGGAATGCAGTCTCCCGATTGCTGGGCAGGGGTTGACTGGTTCTGACGGCTCGCAGGGCCGCCCCAGTGCTGGGTGATGTGATGGCCGCCTGGACAGACCGGGGAGCCAGCAGCGACTCCATCTTGTTGCCATTTCACGGGAACGCAGCCCATCCATCACAGCCGACTCCTCCAGGAAGCGAGCGAGAGCCGGGCGGCCCCGGGCGGCCGTGGAGAGGGCGCCTGTGCGGCCTGGGGGTGAGGGTGCATGTGGGGCCCAGCCGAGCACCCAGCGCCCACCTGGACGGCCGCGCTATGCCCTCTGTGTTCAGAAGGTCGAACGTTTTCACCAAGAAGGGAGCCTAAATCCCAGCGTGGCTCCTGGCGGCCCCTCTGGAAGTGCAGGCGTGCGGGGTCCTGGGCCCCCCTGGGCCCCGGGCAGCCCCGGCCTCACGAGAGCCCTCCACTTGCAGGCGGGCGTGTGAAGACCTGGAAGCGGCGCTGGTTCATCCTCACGGACAACTGCCTGTACTACTTCGAGTACACCACGGTAGGTAGGGGCCGCCCCCGCCCCGCCCCCGCCCGGCCCCCCGCCCGCCCGCCCGAGCCTGGCTGTGTGCTCTGTCTCGCAGGACAAGGAGCCCAGGGGCATCATCCCGCTGGAGAACCTCAGCATCAGGGAGGTGGAAGACCCGCGGAAGCCCGTAAGCCCCCGGCACCCTGTGGGTCCTGGGGTGGGGAGCCCCTGGAGCCCCCGTGACGGCCCCCTCTCCCCACCAGAACTGTTTTGAGCTTTACAACCCGAGCCACAAGGGCCAAGTCATCAAGGCCTGCAAGACGGAGGCGGACGGCCGCGTGGTGGAGGGGAACCACGTGGTGTACCGGATCTCGGCGCCCAGCCCTGAGGAGAAGGACGAGTGGATCAAGTCCATCAAGTGAGCGCGGCGGGCGCACGCGCCGGAGGCTCCCAGAGCTGGGCCACGGCGGTGCCTGGGGTGGCGGGAGGGCTCCCTGCTGCCCCGGCCAGCGCCGCCCGCCCGGGCCTAACCCGCTTTCCCTCCCTGCGCAGGGCCAGTATCAGCAGGGATCCTTTCTATGACATGCTGGCCACGAGGAAGAGGCGGATTGCCAACAAGAAGTAGAGGCGGCCTGGCTGCAGCAGGCCAAGAGCAGACGCGACCCCCGGCACCGGTGACCGGCAGCGGGCAGCACCGCACGCGCCGCTCGTGGTCCGCCATGAAACCCCGCAGCGCTCCCGCGGCACGCCCTGGGCGGGGTGGGGTGAACACTCTAAAGCCACTGTTCTCAGAATGGGAAAGGAAAAGCTACCACTGTTTTTATGAGGATTTTTTTCTCAGATATATAGGATTATAGCTTTTATATGCCTTTTTATACTCTGAAATTATAACGAAAGATACTTTCTAACAGTAGTATTTTTAGAATGGCAGCTATAAATTTAACTCCTGAACACAAGCATGTGCTGTGCACTGACCCCCACACATGTGCACACGCACGCTCGCACGCACCAGGGCAGGCGTGGCCCCTTAGGGAGTGGGAAGGGTGCCCCTCCCTTCAGCCCCAGCCTCTGGGCCCACGGCTACCATCTGAGTAAGCGAGGCCTAGACTGTGGTGACGGCGGCGTCAGGGTGGGCCCAGCACCGCTGAAGCCGAGAGCAAGCAGCTGCGGGACTGCGCTGCTGGGCCCCAGCACACGGCGGCCCCTGGCAGCCCGACGCCGCACACCAGCTCTGACCACAGCGCTGTGAAGACCCCAGGCGCACGCCAGTGTCTGTCACTGGGCCACTCACTTCACATGTCCTCCCGCCATGGTGGCACCTGGGCCGCTGACAGCAGGCCGGAGGGGGCACCGAGGGGCCCTGTGTGCTGGGGCCAGGCCTCTCCCCGTCAGGCGCCTCCTGCCCTGGGCCGCTTCCCCCCACCCGGGGTGCAGAGGTGCACCTGCAAGCTGCAGCAAATCCAAGTCGAGGGAAGCAGCTCTGCTGTGCGCAGGGCACACCCCTGGGAGCCGCCCAGGGTCGGCAGCACCCTGTCTTGACGGCAGCTGCCGAGGGGCCGAGGCCCAGGCCCCCACTTCCTGCACAGGCTCGCTGCTGTGTCCAGGCCTCAAGGCTTCCTGACCTTCTCATGCCTCGGATCTGAAGCTGGAGTCGGTGAGGATGGCGGGCAGCGTCCTTCCAGTGCCCGCCCGGGCGGCACACACTCCAGGGCCGGCCCCGCGTCTGCAGAGCTGGCTGTCTCGCGTGCTGGGAGAGGTGAGCCTGGCTGGAGTCACCTGGTGACGAACCTCTGCCTCACGGCCGCGGCGCCCACCACCAGGCACCTGCTCCAGGTCCTGCTGTGTCAGTATTAACGGGAAGGGCCGGCGGCCCTCAGGCCTGCGTGGGACGGGCCTCTGCCAGGGCTGCCCGGAGCAAACAGCCTCAGTCCATCCTGCTCCTCGCCCGACGCGTCCCAGCTCTGGCCAAAGACAAACTCCTGCGGAGAAACCCTGGGTGCGGAGGGCGCCTCCAGCCCATCTCGCCGGCCCTGGACCCAGACGAGCAACGGGTCTTCGGGGTCACAGGTCACGTGTGAGCGGCAGACGGCTGAATGTGGTACCAGGTGGAGTCAACACAGGAGCTCTTTACGGGTGAAGCAGGACGGCTGCTTCGAAGCGACGCCTATTTTTCAAGTCACAAACGTGTTTATCGACATAGATGTGCTTTGCGCAAAGTTAGGTCTGTTGTAGACCAGAAACCACGAGTTGTGATTTCTCACTTCCTTGTTTTTCTTAGGAGCATTTCTATTGACAGTGAGTTAGTCGATATGTAAATAGTGTAATGTATGCTGACCTCTGGAGTGTTTGTAATTCAGTGTACAGACCCCACAAGCTGCATGAAGAAATATTCTATTGATATTGATATCAAAATATATACTGATATTTTGTTGTAAAATTAGCGGGTGTGTGACTGTCGGAGCTCTTGCAAATACCGTGTTCACGAAATAAAAGCGAACGTGCTGTTCCCACAAGGCCGTCTGGGACAGGGGCTCTCGCGGTGAGACGTGCCTGTCGGCAAACGGAGCAAACAGTAAGAAAGACGAGCCGAGCTGTCTCCTTCGCTGCGTTTATATACTATATAAATTTTACATGCTGGATATTTACAGTGGGGCAAGTGCTTTTTTAATCTTTAAAAAAACAAAGATCAAACTTTAGACATCTCTGAACAACACAGACTGTATAAACCATACAGAGTATTCAGAATCCGACTGTATTAAATACAGTGCTCCCCACGCGTCTCCTGATGCAGGACCAGTGAATTATTACAAGTGTATCACAGTTTGATAGCATATCCATATTAAAAATAAAATCACAGTATGATTCTGTCTGTAACTAGAAACTGGAAGGGACCAAGCTGACAACTCACACCCCATATCATACAGTCAGGACAAGAGACACTGTATAAAAAGTGTTATGTAATAAAAACAGACTGTAGGCTTTACAAATGATGTTGGGATTATACATTCATAATGTAAATACTCATAACTGGTCAATTGATTGGAATAGTTCCACAAAGTTCAAAAACAGAACTTGTCTATAAAATACATCTTCAAATCTTGAATACAACTAAAATATGAAGCAAATTAGTTTCTAGTATCAGACATTACAGAGAACAGACTGCCCTCGAACGTCGACTTGAGAGCTTGGGAATCTTAAATAAGTCTTTAAATTAAACACACAGACTGTCAGTTTGTCCTTCCTCCCGGTTGGTCTTGCGCCAGCTGCCTGGCTCGGAGGGACATTACATGAGAGACAAGGGGTCAACCTGAGTCTGTAGTTAAGCAGCATTGAGATGTTCTCTTCCAGGGCAGGGCATCGTTTGCAGTGTGATCTATGTACACGGTATCTTACAACGGTCAGCAGTCGTAGAAAGTGTTCGTCCATTTGGAATAAGGGCAATTAAGAAAAGGTAAAAACTAAAAAAAAAGTTCTCCATGGTAAAATCTGTACAGTATTCACTAAAGAAGCACCACGCAGATTGGAAGAGTCTCTGTTTATAACTTAAGCTGGGCTGGGGATGGCTTCTGTTGAACGCGTTCACTCTGAAAGGCAAGAGTCGGCAGGCGTTAGCGCCCCGTGCCCAGCCCTGCGGGGGGCCCTGCCACGCCCACCCGCAACACCAAATGCCTCTGGTCCCCGGGTCCCCTCCTGCATCAGGCCTGATGAAGTGCGTCCCATCCGCACAAAGAGCCTCGCGACGTGAGCGTCAAACTGGTTCTTAGCCCCTGGGGCCATAGAGCTCGGGTGCTGAGTGACCCCAGACGCTCACGCAGGTTCTCAAGCGAAGCCCCGACTGCCCGCACACCACGTGCTGCCCCGGACTCAGGGCTGGGGCGCGAGCGCACATCCCAGAGCAGGACGTGCGGCTCCGGCACAAGGGAGCGGGAGGGACAGAGGGTCCCCTCAGGCCAGTGGGGGTCTGGGCTGGGGAAACTGGGCCCACCCTCGCAGCATCTGGGTTCTGAGCTTTGAACTCAAGCCCCTTCTCTTACAATGAGAGGGGAAGGCAAGGAGCCACTGCCTGGATGGAGGGTCGCGTGTCTCCCAGCCGGCACCAGCCAGCAGAGGGGCACGAGGCCCGGGGTGGGGACCCCCGGGGGCCTGACCCCTCCGTGCCTCTGCAGAGAGGACAGCGGCTTACCGTAACTGGTGGGTCTCTGAGGCCGTTTTCAGTCACCTACAAGGTAAAGGTTAGGAGTCAGATTTTAACATCAGTGCAGAACTGCTGGTGCCTGTGCCATGCGTGTGCTCTCACAGCAGGCGCCAGGAGTCCACCCCACAGAAGCGGGGCCACTCGGGTGGCACATGTAGCTACTTCTCCGAGAGCGTGTGGTGCCAGGGCCACTGGTCCCAGTGGGATGAGGTGCCGAGTAGGATGTCCCCCCCTGGAGGGCAGGACAGATCTCAGGCACAGCAGAGCAGGGAGGGCATGCGCACAAGGGCATCCACCCGCAGGCCGGGCTGGGCCGTGGGCTCCTGAGCCTGCGCTCACGGCAAACCAGGTCCCAGTGCCATCACACTGGGAACTCTGCCCTATGGCCTGGCCGCCCCAGGAGCCTGGTGGTCTACCAGGATAGAAGATTCCACCAAAAATTCTGGGATCCTGGGCTGGCGCTGTGGGATAGCAGGCAAAGCCACCGCCTGTAGTGCCAGCATCCCATATGGGCGCTGGTTCGAGTCCCAGCTGCTCCACTTCCGAGCCAGCTCTCTGCTATGGCCTGGGAAAGCAGCAGAAAATGATCCGAGTGCTTGGGCCCCTGCACCCGCGTGGGAGACCCAGATGGAGCTCCAGGCTCCTGGCTGCAGCCAAGCCCAGTCCCAGCTGTCAAGGCCATTTGGGGAGGGAACCAGCAGATGAAAGACCTACCAGTCTCTCACTCTCTTCAGCCTTTCAAACACAGATACATCTTTGAGGAAACAAAACCAAACCTGCAGGACAGACCCACTGCCCGGCTTCACCCCAGGTGGGCGTGATGCCCTGCACCACGCAGGGGGCATCGCCCCTCACCAGCCCCCTCCCCAAAAGCCACTTCCTCCAGAAGTGCACATGGCTTCCTAGAGCCACACGGAGGAGCACTGCAGCCCCCCCTCCCCCCGGAGCTCCTGTGCTCACAGCCACGGCCCCAGCTCCATGCTGCCAGCACTCGGAGCCCAGCCCAACTGCCTGGTCCTCCTGCCAACTCCCTTCCAACAACCACCCCACACTTGCTGCGGCCACTGCAGGAGATGGGCCAGCCCCAGGTCTCCCCCTGCCCCACAGAGCACACCTCAGCCAGGCCCAGGACACAGCAGAGCGCCAAAACCCTCAAGAGCCAGCCGGCAGACACGTGCCACGGCAGGTACGCCTTTCTGCAGGGTGGCGGCCGGCACACTTCCCGCTAGGGGTTGGCGCGGCGCCTTCAGCTCTCAGGCCCGGGCTGCGACGCCTGTGCAGCGGGAGCAGCGGCAGACAGGCCCGGGCGCGCCGTGCGCCCAGCCAGCCTCGGGCAGGTCTGTGATCACTGAAAAAGGTCATGTGGGCCCAGCACAGCATCGGCTGCCGCCATGCACGGAGCCTGTTCCTAAGGCGCCCAGGGCTCCCTTCCAGGAAGGAACGAGAGCAGAGGGCCGCTGACCCGAGGGCGGGCGTCCGTCCGTGACCGGGCAGCCCGGCGTGCAGAGCAGGTGAGCGCGACCCCCGCTGACCGAGGGGCCGGCCCCGAACTCGGGGCACACCCAGGAGGCCAGAAGAGTAAGTGTACAATACACAAAGACTTTCAAAACATCCCGCAAACAGGACTGCTGGTCCCTCGTGAGGGGAAACAGACCCCCAGAGCCGCGCACCCCAGGGCTCTGATGGCGCCCAGCTCCGCGGGGCTGAGGCGGTCCCCACACGCTCACGGCCCACACCACACAGGGCCGAGGCCGCGCGGGGGCGGGGGCGGGGACGGGGCGGCTCTGGGCGACTGTGCCCCTTTCACGCACTGCAAGTTTCCATCTTCTTGATCCCAGAGTCTCCTCTTACCCTGGCCATGCTCAGACAGACGACCCCTGCTGGCCCGGCCCTCCGGTCGGAAATGCTTGGTTTTCTCGCGGCAAGGGCCGAGCCCCTCCAGAGGCAGGGCGTCGGCGAGGAGGAAGCCGCCCTCTGCTCTCCGGAAATGGTCCACAGTCTCACAGCTCGCGGCCTTGGCTACGTGTAGTTCCGGCGCTTTCACAAAGTCCTCGGACTTCCTCGAGTGTCTCTTCTTCTTCTTCTTCTTCTTCTTGTGTCTGTGGAGGTCGGCGTCAGAGCTCGCCCCTGCAAGGTCCGAATCCTGCTGATGCCTGCCAAAGAAGCAGCGGGATCGTAACACCTGGAGGCAGACTCGCCTCACAGAGGCCCGGGCCCCTGCCGTGTGCACCCCTGCTGGGCAGCGACGCGTGGCTGTGGTGGCTTTCCCTGGCCTACCTCTAGGCTGAGGGCCACCCACTCACCAACCGCTGCCTGGTCAGCAGTGCGGGCCCCACTCTGCTCCCTTTCCCTGCAACCACGGCCGCTCCACCAGGCGTCTCGGCACAGGTCCCCAGCTCAGGTAACACTGTCCATGGCTCCGGGAAGCCGCTGCCACCCGGGCTTCTGCCTGTGCTCGGCCACCTCAGCATCTTAAACTCCAGTGTCCTGCCTGGACTCCAAACGGAGAAGTGGAGACAAAAACACACACCAGCGGCCGGCACCGCGGCTCACTAGGCTAATCCTCCATCTGCAGCACTGGCACCCCGGGTTCTAGTCCCTGTCGGGGCGCCGGATTCTGTCCCGGTTGCCCTCTTCCAGGCCAGCTCTCTGCTGTGGCCAGGGAGTGCAGTGGAGGATGGCCCAGGTGCTTGGGCCCTGCACCCCATGGGAGACCAGGAGAAGCACCTGGCTCCTGGCTTCGGATCGGTGCAGTGCACTGGCCATAGCAGCCATCTGGGGAGTGAACCAACGGAAGGAAGACCTTTCTCTCTGTCTCTAACGCTGCCTGTAAAAAAAAAAAAAAAAAAAACCCACACACAACAGCAGGTTTCAGCATCCCCACTCTGGGGGTGCAGGCTAAGGGGAAAAGCACGGGCCCCCCCGTCTTCTGCCCGCCTCTGCAGACACAACCCCTCAACCAAACGTGCACACAGCAACGGAGTCACGTGACAGAGCACACACGCAGCCGGGGCCCCCGCGCACGGTGGCCCGCAGAGCCGCTGACCGTAGGGCCGCCCCAGCGCCCGCCCTGCCCGCGCGAGGCCGCCCTCACCTGCAGCCGCGGTCTCGGTGTTTGTCTTTGGATTTCTTTTTCTTCTTTGACTTTTTGTGCTTCTTGGCTTTCGGCTCCTCCACGGGCTCCTTCTGTGGGCTCCTGGGGGCTCTGGCAGCGGCGTGGCCGTCGGTTTCCAGGCTGCCGTACCTCCGCTTGCGGCCCCGCGCGTCCTCGTGCTCATGGCACCGGTCCGAGAGGCGGGCGCCACTGTCCTGGGTGGCAGGGGTGGCCCTCTCGGGGCCCAGGGGCAGGGCCGGGGCAGCGCCCACGCGGGGGCCGTGCAGGTGGCGCCGCTCCTTGTCCCTGGCCGGGGCCTCGTAGCCCTTCCTGCCACTGCGGTGGTCCTTGTAGGGCCGGCTGCCGTGCGGCGCCGCCCGCGCGTGCTCCCGGGCTCCGTGGAAAGGCTTCCACTCCCGGGCGGCGTACGGGGCGTACCTGTCGTGGTAGTACCTGCACTTGTCCCACCTCATCCTGTCCACGTAGCACTTCTCGCGGCCCCAGCCGTGCTCGCTCTCCGAGTGGTGGTACCGGCTCCAGTCCTGGTCGGAGGCGCTCCTGTTGCGCGAGTGGTGGTGGCCGTACCGGCCCAGAGAGCGGCGCTCGCCGGGGCTGAGCTGCTCGCCGTGGCTCAGGGGGTGCGGGCCGCCGCCGCAGGGCTCGCGGGTGCAGCGCGGCTTCTTGTGGTGGCGGCCGTCGGTCCTGCTCCGGCTGTCCCGCGCGTGCTCCCCGCTGGAGGACCGCCCCCTCCAGTTACGGTAATGGCCGCGGTCAGCCTTCCGGGGGCCGCCGATTCTTTCCTTCGCGGGAGAGCGATCTGGAACACTCTGCCCGCTCTTGCTGTCGTCGGCCCTCTCCCCGCGGCTCTGCTCGGGGCCGCCTTCCGGGTGGCTCCCCGCAGTCCTGTCCGGCTGAGGGGGGGGCGTCGCATCTGCAGGTGAACCCGAGCTTCCGGAAGGCTCCCTGCTGAGGGACACGGCCGGCTTCTGCTCACACGCATCTTCAGAAGGGACGGTGGGGGCTGGGCTCAACCTCTCCACGGGCTCCGTGGGCGCCGAGTCCTGGGGGCTGTCCACCACCGGCCCCGTCGCCTCCTGGGGTGGGCTGCTGGGGTCCTCGGGCAGGCTGTCGGAGTCGCCTCGCGGGGAGGGCGGGCCGGCCCCCACGGCATTCTGGGCCGTGGCATGCGGGCTGCTGGCCCCGGGCGGGGGCTCCTCCGCCACTGCTGAGGTCTTGTCAGGGACTTCTTCTTTGGTAGAGGTGACGCCGGGGTCGGAGGGCAGCGTGGCCTTCTTCACGTTCCCGCCCAGGCCGGCGGCCCTCTCCTGGGCAGCGGCAGGGGCACCGCCAGCCTCAGGCTCGGGGGCTGCATCCTCGGGAGGGTTCTTCTCCGCTCCAGCTACGCCGCAGGCCCCGCTAAGAAAGAAAGACCAACAGTCAGCCCGGCTCCGTGAGCTGCACCACCGGCCGACCGCGACAGGCCGCGCGAGGGTCTGGCTGAGCCCCAGCAGGCTCCACGCTGCTGTCCCCACTGCACACACGCAGAATCCTGCATCAGGCCTACATCCTGTCCTAGTTTTCAGCAGCACCAGCCCCGTGCGTCTTAACCTTCTGTTTCTGCAGGCACCTAATTCCTTACGATCTCACGACCTCATCTACACCAAACGTTGGGGGGCCTGGGGGGGTACTCTGACTCTCCCTCACAATCCCTGAGCTCTGCACAAGCCCCGCAAGGGAGCCCCCGGGGACTCGAGTCGGCTTCGGGCACGGCCACAGGGTAGGGAAGCCGCCAGGAGACACTGACGACTGACGAGTCAGCACAAAGTGCGCACGCGTGGTGGCTTTGCGTGTCACCCCCTGCAGGTGACTCACACACGCTACAGCTGACGGCCTCCAAGCTGGATGAGGACAGAAGCCAGGCGGTCACCACGGAAGCGGGCGAGGAGCCCAGGCTTTCTAACCTCACGGTGAGCGGGGACCGAGTGCTCCCTGCCCACAGGGTCCACGCTGTCCCCAGGCGAGGAAGACTTCCTCTGCAGAGCCGTCCTCTGCGGGGGCAGCTCCACCAGCCAGGGGCCACTGGAGGCACCGAGAGATGGGCCTGCTGGCACGAGTCCCACGCCACAGTGGGAAACCCCAGCCGTGACGGAACCTGCAGTTTCCGCTACATTTTCCAGGGCAACCGCGGTGTCAATGCAGAGATGGCCAAACTCTAATTCTGTCGGAACTTGGCAGGAACACAGCGTCCTGATGGCTTCTACGTGTGGCCTGAGCGAGCTGCCCACAGGGCCCGTTGCTGACGGCCTCACCCGTGCGGCCCGCAGTGAGAGTGCTCTCGCCTGGAGGCAGCAGGGACCCAGCCGTCGCTGCACTGTGACCCACTTTCTCTACACTCCTCAGTCCCCTGAGTGGAGTTCAGGACTCTAGAGGGAGTGTCACAAACTCTGTGCTCCCTGAGAGGGGAGGCGCCCTCACACGTCTTCACATACTGGTTACTACAAAGATTCAGTGGGGGCAGGAGCTGTGGTACAGCAGGCTAAGCTGCCACGGCAACGCTGACGTCCCATCCGTCCCATCCACCTCCCGCTGACGCAGCTGGGCAGGCGGCAGAAGACAGTTCAGAACACCTGGGTCCCTGCCTCCCACGTGGGGACCAGGACGCAGTTCCAGGCTGCTCGCTTCAGCCTGGCTTAGCCTCAGCTGGTGCAGCCATTTGGGGACTGAACCAGCAGATGGAAGAGCTCCTTTGATTTTCCCCCACTGTCTCTTTCTCTCTGATGCTCCTGCCTTTCAAAAAAATAAAACTCTTAAAGAAAAAAAAAAAAAAAAAGCAGCCAGCACTGTGGCGTAGCAGATAATGCTGCAGACTGCAGTGCCGGCATCCCACATGGATGCTGATTCCAGTCCTGGCTGCTCCTCTTCCGATCCAGCTCTCTGCTGTGGCCTGGGAAAGCAGTAGAGGATGGCCCAAGTCCTTGGGCCCCTGCACCACGTGGGAGACCTGGAGGAGGCTCCTGGCTTCAGATCAGCACAGCTCTGGCCGTTGTGGCCATTTGGGGAGTGAACCAGGGGATAGAGGATCTTTCTCTCTTTTCCTCTCTCTAACTCTGCATTTTAAATAAAATAAATAAATCTTTAAAAAAATGAAGAAAAAAAAAGAACAGATTAAATGAAGGGTGGGCACCGATTAGGTGCTGTGGCACAGCAGGTTGTCACCAATTACAATGCCCGCACCCAGGGTCAGAGCGCCAGCTGCTCTGCTTCTGATCCAGCTTCCTGCCAATGGAATCAGGTCCCTGCCACCCGGCTGCGAGACCTGGATGGAGTTCCCGGCCTCTGGGGCTTCAGCCTGGCGCAGTCCAGCAGGTGAAGAGCTACCTCTCTGTCACACTGGCTTTCAAGGAGACAAAAATAAACTGCATTCACAGGCAAAGATCAAATGAGATCTTGGCATCAAATTCAGAAGTACGCCAGTAACACGGCCAGGCAGGCAGCCAGGCTGTGCGGGAGGGCCCAGCGGCCTGCGGACACGCCTCCCCAGACTCTTGGTGCCATTTGCTACATTTTTTCCTTACTCTTCGAAGGGAAGCAAATGATCAAACCCTATCATTAGTCAAATCCTGCCAGGACTCCAAGTGCTCATCCTAAGACCTCTGCAGTGCCCCGCGTGCCACGGCCTTCTTGTTTTACCTGGTCTCATCTGCTGGGCCTCTCGCTCTGCTGCTGAGTTGGAAGGTCTCTAAGAGCTTGTCTTCCGGGAGAGACGGCAGAGGAGCAGGCGCCAACTACAAGAAAAAACAGACACTGCCGTTCTAGCCGCCAGCTCGCACGCTGCCCTAAACAAGACAAGCAAGGCCTGCCCCTGCCCCCGGCCGCCTGCTCACCTCCCCAGCGAGACCGTTCGCCTTAGAGAAGCCATTTTCTGAGTGCGGAGCAGGCTGGACTTGGCAAGCGGCGCCATCAGAGGACAACCCATTCTCCTTCGGGCCGCTGTCGGCACCATTAGCACCACTGAGAGGAGGGGGCTCCGGAAGCGCGTGCTGAGAGGCCTCGCCACCTTCCATGTCCCGAGCAGGAGAGCGGGGGTCCTCGGTCGTGCCGACCCCAACTCCGTTCTCTTGACTCAGCCCCCGGGGCTCCTCGTCCGACTCCTCGGATGACTCGGCGCCGTAGGGGACCAGCACGCTGGCGCTCAGCTGCGACCTGCCGTTCACCATGGGCTTGCAACAGGGCTTTGCGACCTTACCGGGACCTGACGCTGCAGGTGCACTCGAGGTAGGCTGTATTGCAGAAGGAGTGGCAATGGTAGAAGAGGGGGCCGGCTTGTTCGGGATCTCCAAGGAATTGCTATGAAGGCTAGGCTGAGACTGACCTTGGCGAACAGGCAACTTGTTGTGAATACTGATTGTGATTTTTTGTTTCTTGGGATGTTCCGGAATAACAGAGGACCTGTTAACTGACCAGTTTTGAACAGAAGCGGAAGCATTGACAGGACTAGCCCTGTTGACAGTGGAATTTCCATTAGGACTTGACATGGAACTGCTTGGTGTGTCTTTCAATGGTCCGGTCCCGTTTAAGTGAGGAGGATTCTGGGGGGGCGGAAACAATAGCAGGCTCAGAGCTGAGACACCGGTCACCAATACAGACTCTGGCTGCAGGCCCATTCTCATTTGGGCCTTTTTCTTTTTAGGGCTAACAAATTTTACACAGCTACAAATACCTTCCTTTTCTTGCACCTTCTCCTACCCACAGACATTTCTTACAGGGCCCAGTTTTCTGGCAATTAATTGACAAGTAAGACAACTGTGTTTGTCAGAACACAACCCAAGACCATATTCTTTCTGTTCAAATCTGACAGAAATGAACAAGCCCCCCTGGGCAGGAGACCACACACGTGTGCCTCGGCGGGTTTCCCAGGAAGTTGGCACACAGAGGCAGAGGGAAGTGCCCCTGCCCACGGAGAGTTCTACACAGGCAGTACTCCTGCTCCAGGTCCTCAACCCTGTTGCTATTGCCTGTAGTAGCCCAGGGGTGAAAGCCAGTTTAAGTATTGCCTTTGCAATATTTTCTCAAATATCTGAATTAGTTGCTTTCTTAACATTTCAAGGTTTCACTAAAAAACAAACAAACAAACAAACAAAAAAAAACAACAACACACAAACCAGTAACTCCAAAACTCTATCAGAGCCGCCCCTTCCATGGGCTGTTGCATAGTGTCGGGTTTCCACTGCCTGATACTACTCAGAAGCAAAACCAGTCAGGACCCCGCTGCCCGCCCAGCTCATGAAGGCCTGTGATTCAGACAGAAGCACACAGCCAGTCTGCTCGGTCATTCAAAGCAAACTCAAACCGAAAGGCTACAGCACAGCCGGCGCCGCGGCTCACTAGGCTAATCCTCTGCCTTGCGGCGCTGGCACCCCGGGTTCTAGTCCCGGTCGGGGCGCCGGATTCTGTCCCGGTTGCCCCTCTTCCAGGTCAGCTCCCTGCTGTGGCCAGGGAGTGCAGTGGAGGATGGCCCAAGCACTTGGGCCCTGCACCCCATGGGAGACCAGGAGAAGCACCTGGCTCCTGGCTTCAGATCAGCGTGGTGCGCCGGCCATTGGAGGGTGAACCAATGGCAAAGGAAGACCTTCCTCTCTGTCTCACTGTCCACTCTGCCTGTCAAAAAAATAAAAATAAAAATAAATATTTTGCCCAGCGCCATGGCTCACTAGGCTAATCCTCCGCCTTGCGGCACCGGCACACCGGGTTCTAGTCCCGGTCGGGGCGCCGGATTCTGTCCCGGTTGCCCCTCTTCCAGGCCAGCCCTCTGCTGTGGCCAGGGAGTGCAGTGGAGGATGGCCCAGGTGCTTGGGCCCTGCACCCCATGGGAGACCAGGAAAAGCACCTGGCTCCTGGCTCCTGCCATCGGATCAGCGCGGTGCGCCGGCCGCAGCGCGCCGGCCGCGGCGGCCATTGGAGGGTGAACCAACGGCAAAGGAAGACCTTTCTCTCTGTCTCTCTCTCTCACTGTCCACTCTGCCTGTCAAAAAAAAAAAAAAAAAGGCCACAGCACAGCACCAATGACACCCTTATTCCAAGGTGTGGACAAGCTGTGGGCGAGGCAGTCTCTCCCGGGAGAGAGCTGGGCAAAGGCAGGCCTGCTCTATGAACACCATGCATCATGGGACACAGGTACACGGTCAAATCCAGGCAGGCTGTACGTGGGAAATGCTATGTTCCTAGTGGCAAAAACGGATCTAAGAAAAGCGGCCTGGTAGAAGGGTGGCTTTACTGGATTCTCACCCAGTAAGAATCCCCAGAGCCAGGGATCTGACTAGCAGCTAGGACACCCACAGCCCCTGTAGGAGCGCCTGGGTCTGATGCTGGGCTCTGGTCTGACTCTGCCTTCCCGCTAATGCAGAGCCTGCCACCTACAGGGACCACAGCTCTGGCCCTGGCACAGTCAGCACCTGGGAAGTGAGTCAGCAGCCGGACCTCTCTGTCACCACCGACCAGAACGGAATCCGTGGTGGGAGCTGAAACGTCAGCAGACCCAGACTTCCCTCGGGATCATCTCTTCCTACTCTGAGGCTTTCCAGAACAGAGCATGAACAGACTTTGACAGTTCAGCTGAACACGAGGACATGGCACTGTGGCAGAGTTAACCCGAGGGCGTGAAGGACGCATCAGAGACGCACATGAAGACTGCATTCTGCGGAGGAAGTTTACCTTCATCCCGTGGGCGGGAAGCTGTGGGCCGATGAAGCCTGGCGTGGCCTGTTTGTTGCTGACCACCCGCTGACTGATGACCGGGCGAGGAGAGGACTGGCCAGGGCTGTGGGTAGAATGAGGGAGCTCACCTCCATTCTTCACATCATGGGACCTGGAGACAAGCAGAGACGTTGCCTCGGATGAGACAGAACCCTCTAAGAAGGTTCACTGACAAGCTCAAGCGCACGTGGGACATGGCCTGGCCATCACGAGGGCAGCTGGGATGCCTGCACTCGACGCTGGACAATGTGGATTGGAGTCCCAGCTCTGCTCCTGACCCCAGCTCCCTGCTGACGCACACCCTGGGAGGCAGCAGGGGGCGCTCAAGGACTCGGGTCCCTGCCACCACGCGGGAGACCTGGAAGGAGTCCCTGGCTCCCAGACATGGAGGGGTGAGCCAGCAGATGAGAGTCTCTTTCTCTGCCTTTCAAACCAACCACATATATACATCTATAACATACATACACACACATGTAACATATATACATGTATATACACATATGTATGGAACTGACAGAAAAACAAGCATACTTTTATCACACTTTTCTGTCGCACTGTGCCAAGCTTCGCACATTACCCCGAGGCTGAGGGCAATGTCAGGAGCCGCACAGGTGACCGGGGAAACGGTATTTAACTCCGTGTTCCAAGGACGCCACCGCTTCTCCACTTTTCCCTGCCCTCACCTCTCCGAGGTGGTTCCTATTCATATTCAGCGGATCACCCTCCAGGCCTGCGCCTGCATTGCTGTTTTCAAGGCCAGCGTCCAACGCTGCACAGTGCTTTTCCTCCAAACACAGTCAGGACTGTCGTAAAGCATGACAACACGCTTCACAGGGATGCTCCCATGAGCTGCATCAACGCCCATATATGGGCACGGTCATTCTGCCACTGTGTGACATTTCAGGAAATCTATTTTCCGCTAATAAAACAGGACATTTTGGAACACACATTTCCCAAAACTGGGATTAGAGAGTCAAGCCTGCAGCTGCCAACAGCTAGACGAAGTGCTGATCCAGTGCCGTACAGGCCTGGCCCGGCAGGGGCCTGTGCTCAGTGTGGGGAGGTGCAGCTGTGGCCAAGCCAAAGGCTCAGAGCCCCTGGGTATCCACCCCTGGCCTCCAGGGCTCTCCCCTTCCCCTTCCCTTACACTCTCCCCATGTGCACACTCACGATGCACTCTCCCCGTGTGCACACTCACGATGCACACTCTCCCCATGTGCACACTCACGATGTACTCTCCCTCGTGTGCACTCATAATGCACACTTTCCCCGTGTGCACACTCACGACGCACACTCTCCCCGTGTGCACACTCACGATGCACACTCTCCCCATGTGCACACTCACGATGTACTCTCCCTCGTGTGCACTCATAATGCACACTTTCCCCGTGTGCACACTCACGACGCACACTCTCCCCGTGTGCACACTCACGATGCACACTCTCCCCGTGTGCACACTCACAATGCACACTCTCAGGCCATCCTCCCTCCCCTCAGCGCACTGGCAAAGCCATGGGAACGCCACTGTACCCAGCAGGAATGACAGAACAGGTGCCAATACCTGATGTAGAAGAGGACGTAAGCTTGCTGACTGAGTACCGATCTGATATCACTCGTAGACACGATGGAGTCATTCATCTGATACCAGAGGCCATTGCTAGCCTGCCAAAGACCGTGAACAAAAGAGCTGTTCAGTTTAACGTGCAATATAATTAAGAGATATGTAAGAAAAATGGACATTTACATTTTAACTGTAAAAGTATCCCCTCTCCCCTTCAAGAATGTTAGTGCTGTCCTAGAGTGTAGAATTAAATGTAATCAGCAAAATCTGCACAATTTACCTTGATATAGCAAAAGTAATGGCCCGCATGGCAGTTGAAGCCAGTGTGCACCAGCACTGCATACAGAACATAAATAATTGCTTCTCCATTTGGCTGAGACATGTACGGCCGGATATCAAGATACTCGGGATATTTCACATCCTACACAACAATGAAAGGGAAGAGAACATCATTTCTGAGGGCACACACATCGTCCCACATAGCCAGGTGTGTGGTATCTAGGGTCTCCCAGGAGAAGACCAGCAGGACACTGCACCTGCGAGGCTGCAACAGAAACCTACTACACGGACCCCCCTGCAGGGGCAGGACTAACCTGGAGGACGCCTGAATCTCAGGGGTTTAAAGCAATCTCACTGTATTTGCTACTTTCCTTTAAATGAGTGAATCCTTCAAACAGTTACGGAATAAGAACACTGGACATCACTATCACATTTAAATAACCCCCGAACGGCCTACTCGCTCCTCCTGCACATACTGCCTGTCAGCAGACAGGTGCACCAGCAAGAAGGCAGACTGTGATGAGAGTGGCAGGACCAAGCAGGAGTCCTGTTTGGATTCCGAGTTCCTGTATGCCTCATGACCATGGAAACCAAGAATTGATTACGGAGTCCAAATGCAGACAGCACTTGCCAATTTTATCAGCAAGTCTAGTCAGCTAAAAATCCAGGAAGCACTCATCTCAAAGTACTGGCTCAATTCTTAAACTTTTTTCTTGCTTCCAATTTCTGGAAGAATTTAGACAATCAGTCAACAAAACTGTCCAGTGAGGTCACTTACAACCTTTAATATCCATTGCCCCTTGAGCCTTCACAGGCTCAACACAGAAAATCAGTCATAACATCCACATACCTTAGCGATCTTTCCACCAGTAAAATTCGCAAAGCGTTTCAGAGAAAGCGTAAGAACGTTAGAGGACCTGTGTATAGTGAATCTCTTTGATGCGGGAACCATCTTTTTACACCTTGCAATAAACAAAAGATTACAATCAATATGGATTATTTACTGGCGATTTAGTCTTTCCCTTGTCATTTCTCTGAGACACTGTCAAGTTTCCAAAGAAGGCTGACTATATGAGAAGCAACACCCTCTTCCACCAACAGTGAAAATAGTAAAATTAAAAATACAGAGAGAAACTGCTTAATTAGCCTAAAAGGGAAAAAATGAGATAATTCTGAAATACAAAGCTACACAGGCCACCATGAATACTAAATTTAGGGTAATTCAGTTCAAAACAAACTGGACAACAAACATTTTCAAGATATTAATCTTGTGAAATAATGCCCTATCTAAATACAAGAGAAAGAAAAACAAACATTAGAAATGCTAATATAATTTAAAACAAAGGATAAATCCCTGTGGCCTGAGAGACCAGAAGGGAGCCTCTTCCCTCCAAGGTGAGTACATGACGATAAAAGATACTACCCAGCTACAAGGTGGAAATCCTCTTAAAATATAGGACACAAAGGTTTCTTAAAAACTGGTTCTTGATTTTATAGGGAAGTAAGTATCCAAAATCAGAGGTTTCCAGCAGCCAAGACCCCAAACCCAGGCCACCCTCCAACCCAGGGACAGAGCTGTTCCCAACCTGCGAGGAAGTGGCTCTTCACCCGACTTCAAGCCCTGTCAACAAGTCAGCAGACGGCTGCTCACCAGCCTGCCACAGCGTGAAAAGCACTCCGGAGTCAGGGACCCAGAGGTGAGCGGAAGTGCTCTCCTCACGCAACACCTGCCCCGCAAGGAGGCGCCAGTCCCCCAGGGCACAGAGCTGCTGGTCTCGGAGGTGCGCACTGAGAAGCGGCATGCTCTGTGTCTGGCTTTGGCCAGCAGGGCTAAGGCAAACTGCCGGCCCATTCTGATGCCCCAGACCCTCCCACCACGCCTGCCCTATGCCCCCACGGAGTCACCACCAGCGTACTTGCTGCATTTGTAGGAGTTCTCTCCGTCCAGCTGTTCTGGCTTCACAAACTGCTCCAAGGCCTTGTTCACGCTCTGAGCAGCCTGGGACAAGAAACAACACATGCATGTCACACGCAGCCAAGTGACCAAGGCAGAACCACAGGCTGAGCTGAGAAAGCAAATAATTATGTAAAAAGAAAAATTTCCTTTACTTTCTTCACTTTTCCCCATCTGTACACCTAATCTCCTCTCACTAAATACAAGCAGATTAAAGGAACAAAAATATATAAACAGGCTGCTAGCTACACCATCACTCAAAATAGCATAAAACTGGAAATAAAACAAGTATCTATGAAAGAATCAAGCCATAGATTACGGTACATCCACTGCTGGACCGCCACACGAATACCCACAGAACACACGTGTAATAGCAACAAGTCCAAACAGTATTAGACAAATCACCAAGTGGCCAAACCAGACCAGGCAAAATCTCATTTTTTTATACAAAGTAAACAATGGGGGACAGCATTGAGGTACAGCAGGTAAAGCCACCACCTGCGACACTGGCATTCCATACAGGCGCCAGTCCGAATCCTGGCTGTTCTACTTCCGATCCGGCTCCCTGCAAAAACAACAGAAGATGGCCCAAGTGCTTGGGCCCCTGCACCCGGAATAAGCTCCTGGCTCTGGACCGTTGTGGCCATTTGCAGAGTGACCAATGGATGGAAGATTTCTGTCTCTCCTCCCCCAACCCTGTAAACTCTGCCTTTCAAATAATTCAGTATTTAAAAGAAAATGAAAAAGTACACCATATATTCTGGAGAAGACACACCAAGCTGCTCCAAGCTCCGGGCTGCGGTCTGGCACGCGCTGCTGTGCCGCTGGCACCATGAGCAGGAGCCGCAGCCGCATCAGAAGCTCAAGGACAACAAAAATGTAGAGCTCAGGAAATGCAAGAAGCAAAAGTTTCTGAAGAACACCAACCGCCTGTGACTGGTTAATAAGCCATCAAATCCAGCTTTATTAGACTTATTAAAGGAAGTTAAAGGTGGGCCAGCGCCATGGCTCACATGGCTAATCCTCCGCCTGCGGCGCCAGCATCCCATGTGGACACCAGGTTCTAGTCCCGGTTGCTCCTCTTCCAGGCCAGCTCTCTGCTGTGGCCCGAGAAGGCAGTGGAGGATGGCCCAAGTGCTTGGGCCCTGCACCCCATGGGAGACCAGGAGAAGCACCTAGCTCCTGCCTTCGGATCAGTGCAGCGCTGGCCGTAGCGGCCATTTGGGGAGTGAATCAACAAAAGGAAGACCTTTCTCTCTGTCTCTCTCTCTCACTGTCTGGAACTCTACCTGTTTAATAAATTTAAAAAATTTTTTTAAAAAATGAAGTTAAAGGTGATAAAAAGATTGCTTTTTTATAATGTCTATTTTTTAAGCTTAAATAATCATCTCCAAAGGAAATCTTATCAAAGTAAGCACTTCAATTCATATTCTCTAACAAGTTAAATTATATATAAACTATAAATACACAATTAAAGCAAAACAACATTTTTAAAACTACAACAAGAATGATCAAATTTACCTTTATCTCCAATGTAATATCAAGATATGGATCAAAAGTATCTGAAACGCCCTTACAATTCAAACACTTGACTGAAATAAAAATAAAATGCAAAGGATTAGGAAAGTGTAACCATGATGGCGATACCAACTACTGAAACAGAATACAAATATTGTTTCAAAACCAAAAATTGTACAAAGTATAATTTTTCTGCATCAGAATGAGCAAAACAACTTTTTGAAATTAAGTGTCATGACCCTGGCCTCTTACGCACTAATGGCTGGAATATAAGCTGGTTTATCTTAGAAGGACAACAAGGCGGTACTGCAATGTCAAGTACACACACTCTGTGATCCAGAAGGTCTACACAGAGAATCTGTGGTGTGGGTAGGTGGCTGGCGGGGTGGATGCACACACACATACATGCTTCCACACAGTCTAAGGGCACGTGGCATGGGCATTCATGAAGCAGTGATGGTAGTAATGCCACCAAAAACAAAACAGCAACAACCTGAAGAGCCATCAACAGGGAGCTAAGGTAAGTAAAATACAATTGCAGCTGTGAAAGACCCTGTTAGACGTCCTTGTGCTGAACTGTAAAAGAGGAAAATAAACGCAATACCACAGTGTGTCCCCAGTCACACTGCAGACCGTCACAGGCCCCTGGGGAGCAAGCCCGGCAGCCTGGGCTGGACCGCAGGTGTGCTCTGCATGAACACGCTTCCGGGGCTTGCACTCTGTGAAACCAAATGCATGCATCACTTGATGTACTTTTACAAGCAAAAATTTACCTCTAGATCTTAGGTATCCGCCAAATATCTGACAAACAAGCGTGGTGGCCTGGGTGTGTCTGTCTAATCTGAAAAACATTCAAACAGTGACATGGGAGAAGAGCTCTACAAAAGATATGGATGACATGACCAGATTTTAAAAGCACACGCATTTTAGAATTCAAATAGGAGACCCAGGAAAAAATAAAGCCATCAGTACAGGTGGCAGACAGAGAGCAGTCCTCCCAGCCAGCACACTGCAGGGGTGGGACGAGTGCAGGAGAGGCAGGGTAGCAGGGACTGCGTTACCAAGGGTCCAGAAACGAAGGCCGGAGGGGAGAAGGGAGGAGAGGAGGAGAGAGAGGGAGAGAAAAAGGAGGGAGGTCATGGCCTACTGGGTAAAGCTGCCACCTGTGATGCTGGCATCCCATAATGGCACTGGTATGAGTCCCTGCTGCTCTACTTATGACCCAGATCCTGCAAAAGCAGCAGAAGATGGCTCAAGTGCTTGGGCCCCTGAACCTAGGTGGGAGACCTGTAGGAAGCTCTGGGCACCGCCCCAGGCATTGTGGCCATTTAGGAAGTAAACCAATGGATAGAAGACCTCTGTCTCTCCCTCTCTGTAACTCCACCTTTCAAATAAATAAAACAAATTAAAAAAAAAAAAAAAAAAAGAAGAAGAAGGAAGAGGAGGGAGAGGGACAGGAAACAAAAACCAAAAAGGTTTCCCAGGCTGCAGGTCAACAGTGAAAGGTCAGGCACGACCAGAAAGGAGACGCAGTGAACTGCAGAGGTGTGCCGACACACAGCTGGGGCAGGAACTTGGCAAAGCAGTTAAGACACTACTTGCCACGCTAGCATTCCCTAGCACAGTGCCTGGGCACAGTGCTGGCTCTGCTTCTGATCCCCGCTTCCTGCTGAGGCACACCCTGGGAGTCTGGAGGTACTCAATACTGCGGTCCCTGCAGCCAAGGGGAAACCCGAATGAGTTCTAGACTCTTGGTTTCCACCGGACCAGCCCCCGCTCTGGGGGCATTTGGGAGTGAACCAACAGATGGGAGCACTCACTTTTTTTTCTCTCTTCAATAAATTAAATAAATTTTTTAAAATATCAAAATTCATTTCCTGACATTAAATTCAAATTGTTATGGTGGGTATACTTTTGTAAGTTCCAACTATCTTAAAATAATGCAAACCAGCTGGGAAGAGGCCACGCAGAACCAAAGGTAAAGACAACACAGGACCCTGGCTTCTAGCATGAAGACAAGGCCAGGCCGGGCAGCAGAGAAGCGAGAAGCGGCCCTGACCGGTGCTCTCTGGTACTCACTTATTGCTGCCATTTAAGCACGCCTTTTGCATAGCATCAACAGTGTACTGAAGGAATTCATGGGCATCCTCTTGGTTTCCAAAACGGAAGTGCCTAGCTATCCCTGTGAAATGCAAGGACAAGGTGCAGTCACCACACATGACATGCCCAACCGCACCCCACAGAGTTACACCTTGTGAACTAGACTGGACAGAAAAACCCCTGAATAAATACTTTGCAGAGAAACTGCACTGACATAAGCTTCCCTAACAACGGCCAGGACTGTGTCCTGTACACCGCTAAGAGCCCACAGAGGCTACACGTTTGAGGGTCCAGGGAGTAGCTGCCCTTGTACCTTCAGTTAATTCATGACAGCACAGCTCAAAGTCCAACATCAGCTACACTGTCCTAAAAGTCTGTCCAAGGGCCAGCATCGCATTGTGGCTCAGCAGGTAAAGCCGCCACCTGTGACACAGGCATCCCATATGTGCACTGGTTCAGGTGCTGGTGGCTCCACTTCCCACCTAGCTCCCTGCTAATGGACTGGGGAGGCAGTGGAAGATGGATCATTTGTTTGGGCCCCTGCCACCCAAGTAGGAGGCCTGGATGGACCTCCAGGCTCCTGGCTTCAGCCTGGCTCAGCCGTGGCTGTAGCAACCATCTGGGGAGTGAAACAGCAGATGGAAGACCTCTCTCTCTTTCTTTAATTCTTTTAAATAAATTAATTAATTTAAAAAAAAAGAAAGTTCTATCCCAAGGACCTCCTCAGCTGCACAGCGGCATTTCAGTGCTATTTCTAACTAATCAGTTAAGACCAAATCATTCTATAAAAGTTATAATTGAAAACGTAGCGGCCGGCGCCGCGGCTCACTAGGCTAATCCTCCGCCTAGCGGCGCCGGCACACCGGGTTCTAGTCCCGGTCGGGGCGCCGGATTCTGTCCCGGTTGCCCCTCTTCCAGGCCAGCTCTCTGCTATGGCCAGGGAGTGCAGTGGAGGATGGCCCAGGTGCTTGGGCCCTGCACCCCATGGGAGACCAGGAAAAGCACCTGGCTCCTGGCTCCTGCCATCGGATCAGCGCGGTGCGCCGGCCGCAGCGCGCCGGCCGCGGAGGCCATTGGAGGGTGAACCAACGGCAAAGGAAGACCTTTCTCTCTGTCTCTCTCTCTCACTGTCCACTCTGCCTGTCAAAAAAAAAAAAAAAAAGAAAAAAAGAAAACGTAGCACAAAAGTATGACTAATATCACAAAACATACTGAATTTTATGTGTATGAATATACATCAATATATACTAGCTTCAATCACACAAAATTTCTAACATTCCACCAGTCTGGGCCTACAAAGAAGGACAAATTTCACGATTCAACCATGTGTGTTTATTTGTGAATGTTTGCATACACACTCACAAAGCAACATTTTTTTAAAGGCTAGGTTTAGGGGCTGGTGTAAGCACAATGGGTTAAACCACCACCTGCGACACTGCATCCCATGAGCACAGGTTCAAGTCCCGGCTGTTCCACTTCCAATCCAGCTCCCTACTAATGCACCTGGGAGAGCAGCAGAAGATGGTTCAAGTGCTTGGGTCCCCACCACCCATGTGGGAGAGGTCCAGATAAAACTTCAGGCTCCCGGCTTTGGCTTGGCCCAGCCACGGCCATTTCAGCCACTTGGGGAATGAACTGGTAGATGGAAGACTTTTCTCTTTTTCTTTCTCAGATGGAAATCAGTCAATCTCTCTCTCTCCTCCATACTCTCTCTCTCTGTACCTCTATCTTTCAAATAAATAAATCCTTAAGAAAGAAAACCACTAGGTTTAAAAATGTTACTCATGCTTGTTACCATGGACAAAAATAAATATATGCATAAACAGTCAAAATCTGTTCCGGCAAAAATTCTACCAGGACCCAATAATCTTTTAAATACTGTTGCACTGTCTCCTCAAGTGTCAACCATGCCAAGAGCCAATATATTCTTTTCTTAAAAAAAAAAAAAAAAAACTAAAATTTATTTGAAAAAGGCCGGCACCACAGCTCAACAGGCTAATCCTCCACCTAGCAGCGCCGGCACACCAGGTTCTAGTCCTGGTCGGGGCACCGGATTCTGTCCCAGTTGCCCCTCTTCCTGTCCAGCTCTCTGCTGTGGCCCGGGAGGGCAGTAGAGGATGGCCCAAGTGCTTGGGCCCTGCACCCGCATGGGAGACCAGGAGAAGCACATGGCTCCTGGCTTCAGATCAGCGCGATGTGCCAGCCACAGCGTGCCAGCCGCAGCGCGCCGGCCACGGCGGCCATTGGAGGGTGAACCAACGGCAAAGGAAGACCTTTATCTCTGTCTCTCTCACTGTCCACTCTGCCTGTCAAAAAAAAAAAAAAAAAAATCTGAAAGGCAGTTATAGCGGGTGGGGGTGGGGGGGACACAGACAGCACAACAGATCATTCTCACACCTGCTGGTTCACTCTCCAAATGGCTACAACAGCTGGGGCTGAGCCAGGCTGAAGACAGGAGCCAGGAGCTTTGTCACATGGGTGGCAGAGGCCCAAGAATTTGGGCCTTCTTCCATTGCTTTCCCAGGTACATTGGCAGAGAGCTGGATCAGAAGTGGAGCATGGGCCAGTGCTATGCTGTGCTGTAGCGGGTGAAGCCTCCACCTGCAGTGCCAATATCCTCTATGGGCGCCAGTTCAAGTCCCGGCTGCTCCACTTGCAATCCAGCTTCCTGTTAATGTGCCTGGGAAAGCCATGGAAAATGGCCAAGTCCTTGGGCTCCTGCACTCACATGAGAGACAGCGGAAAAAGCTCCTGGCTCCTGATCGGCAGCTCTGGCCATTGCGGCCGTGTAGGGAGTGAACCAGTGGGAGGAAGTTCGATCTCTCCAACTCTGCCTTTCAAATGAGCAAATAAATCTTTACCAAAAATAAAAAGAGTGAGATAGCTGGGATTTGAACAGCACTCATATGGGATGCCAGCAAAGCAGGCAGCGGCTTCACCTGCTGTGCCACAGTACCAGACCCACAGCAAATGTAATCTTTAATCTCTGGCAGCTTTTTAGACAAAAGGATTATAGTTTGTAACTAGTTATGCGCCACTATAGTTAACCAACTATATGTCACACTAAGAATTATAGTTTTTACTTGCATGCATCTTTATTACAACTTAAACTGATATAAAAATTTGCTCAAAAACCCACAGAAAATGCCTAATAAGAAATCTCAGGCACCCTATTTAAACTTCAAACAGAAAAAGTAAAGTTTGTCTACAAATCTGCTTAGCTATGGTTATAAATTTTTAAGAGTAAAAATGTGATGTTAACAAGTCCTGTCACTATGCATAGTGTGGCAGTACTTCACCACAGTGGAACAGGGCGGGTACTTGGAGCAGCGGTTATGTTACCACTTGGGATGCCTGCAACCCATGTCAGAGTGCTGGGCTACTGTCCCAGCTTCCTGCTTACATACAGCTTGAGAGGCAGCAGATAAAAGCTCAACAACTCGGATCCCTGCCACCCACCTGGATGGAATTCTGGGCTCTTGGCCTTGGTCTGGCCCAGCCACGGCCATTGCCGGCATTTGGGGAGAGAATCAGCGGATGTAAGATTTTTCTCTATATCTCACTGCCTTTCAAAAAAAATAAAAATCAAGGGGTCAATGTTTGCTGTGGTTAGGTCGCTGCTTGGGACACACGCACCCGTGTCAGTGTGTCTGCTTAAAGTCCTATCTCTGCTTCAGACTCAGCATCCTGCTCACACACACCCTGGGAGGCAGCAGATGATGGCTCACATAGTTGAGGCTCTGCCACCGACACAGGAGACCCAGATGGAGTTACGGGCTCCTGGCTTTGGCCTGACCCAGCCCTGGCTGTTGAGAGCATTTGGGAAGCAAACCAGCAGATGGAAGATCTTTCTTTCTCTCTGCTTTCAAATAAAATGAAATAAATGTTTAAAACTTTACAAAAAGTGGGGCTGGCGCTCTGGCACAGTAGGCTAAGCCTCCACCTGTGGCACCAGCATCCCACGCGGGCGCCAGTTCATGTCCTGGCTGCTCCTCTTCTGATCCAGCTCATCCCAGGAAAGTAATGGAAGATGGCCCAGGCACTTGGGCCCCTGCACCCACGTGGGAGACCCAAAGGCAGCTCCTGGCTCCTGGCTTTGGATCAGCCATTGTGGCCATCTGGGGAATGAACCAGCGGATGGAAGACCTTTCTCTGTCTTTCCCTCCCTTGGTCTGTAATTCTACCTCTCAAAGTCTTTAAAAATTTTTACAAAAAGAAAATAATATCACAGTCTTTTCTGAAATTCGACCATCTAGGAAAAAAATATTAAAAAATAATTTTATTTATTGACAAGCAGAATTTAAAATAATGTAATAAAATCTGCTTATATTAAATTGAATATTGTTTTCCTTATATTGTATCTTTGGTTCACAGTTTCAAAATGAATATGGGAATTATTTAACTAAAAATGTTATGAAATACAGATCTCCATGTGTAATCAAACACACTTCTTTGTTTTCTAATACACGAGAGGCCATTAGACTAAGTAGCTAATAACTGCTCACACAAACCGCCCCGGGTGATACTTACGCCGCATCTCATTGATGACGAACATGGGTTTGATAACATCCCCAGGATTACTGAGTGCCTGGGTAATATGTGCTTGCATTGTGCACATCATACAAAATCCTTCTGCATGACCTGAAAGACAGCAGATGATAGCCCTCCAAATTAGCACACATGACTGCCTATGCAATGAAGATCATTCACAGAAGGGGGCGCACTCCTGCAAGGCAACAGTAATGGCTAAGTGCATGCACTGAGCTATCTACTTCCAGTCACAGCCACTTAATTCTCTCACGGACCTCAGGGATAAGAACACTGGCTCTGTTCCACAAGAGAGGAGAAAGGCTCAGGGAGCCCAAACTTCGCCCCCGTCAAAAGGCTCTTCTGTCACAGACACAGACTCCAATCACACTCTTAAGGCTGGTGCTCTTGGCTGTCCTCTGGCCTCCGAGAGGAGTCTCCCTTGACTGCCTTGGTCTCACCGCAGGGGCTGCACACGGCTGTGTGAATACCTTGGCTCTGCTGGCCTCCTAGACAGCCCCTGCTGTGTGCTCTTGTCTGCTTTTTTAACACATTTATTTAAATGTAAAAATCATTCTTAGGGCGGGCTGAGGCTCACTAGGCTAATCCTCCACCTAGCGGTGCCGGCACACTGGGTTCTAGTCCCGGTCAGGGCGCCGGATTCTGTCCCGGTTGCCCTTCTTCCTGTCCAGCTCTCTGCTGTGGCCCAGACAGGCAGTGGAGGATGGCCCAGGTGCTTGGGCCCTGCACCCCATGGGAGACCAGGAGAAGCACCTGGTTCCTGGCTTCGGATCAGCGCGGTGCGCCGGCCACAGCGTGCCAGCCATGGCGGCCATTGGAGGGTGAACCAACAGCAAAAGGAAGACCTTTCTCTCTGTCTCTCTCACTATCCACTCTGCCTGTCCAAAAAAAAATCATTCTTAGCTCACGCTAACAAGTGCTCCTGGCATCAGGTATCTACTAAGCAGCCTAAAAAAGTAGAAGGTATCCCCCAAGCAAGAGGCCCCCAAACACCAAGAGCACTGGGGCTGAGAAGCTGCCCGAGATTAAGGGATGCTTGGAACTCACCTAATAAAGGCTCAGAAGCCTCAAGAGGATTAAACTATTTCCAATTAACCAGCCCACAGCAATGCTCAAAAATACTTAACGTAACAGAAAAATAATTCTAGGACCAACAACAAAAAACTCATAATGTCTGGCACCTAATCAAAAAGCAGAAATCATGCAAAAACGCAGGACTGAGCAGTAACAAGGATAAAGCAAACAGAAATGATACAGACAATAGTACGGGGAAACATGGCATTTTAAAAAATATTATGCATATGTTCATATGTTCAAGGAGGTGAAAAAGACAAGGGCATGTTAAGGAGCAAATGGGAACTGATCCAAATCTACACCTGGACAGCACAATCTCTGGGATGAAGAACACACCAGCAGGATTATCACAGATCAGACACCATGGGAGAGAAGGTTAATGAACTTGAGATAATCATGATGGACAGAACATGTTCATAATGAAACACAAAGAGGAAAATTTCAGAATAACAACAGATAAACTAAGAGCGAGCTCTGGGACAACTTCAAGTTGTCCCCAGTATCCGTGTGCTTGGACTGAGGAAGGGACAGAACGCCCGCTCCAGAAACAGCAATCACCACTCCGGGAGAGCACTAGGGAGGGTTCCGGGGGACGGAGTGGCTCTGCACCCACTGCTGGGAGCTGGCGGTTCACAGGTGCTAGCTCCAAATCAGAGCACTTCACACCAGAAAACTTTTACTCTATGTTAAGTGTAAAAATAAAAATGGTTTTGTATAACCAAATGTCGTCTGTTTTGATGGAAACGGTAACACCTAGATCTAAGAACATAAAGCCTACACCACAGAAACATGAAGAAAACTGCAAAGAACTATCCACACTGCCTAAGACTGGGGATAAGAGCATCGTAAGAGCGGTTAGAGATAAAAACATGAAGTACACAGGAACAAAGGTAAAAGTGACAGTGACAGTGACATCTTGTCAGAAACAACACAGGCCAGTAGACAGTGGAGCAACACTTTTCACATATTAAAAGAAAAATAATGTCAACAGAGGATTCTCTACTCCACAAAAACAACTGCTTCAAAAAACAATAAAGGCCAACACTGTGGTACAGCACATAAAACTGCAGCCTGCAAAGCCAGTATATGATATGGGTGCCAATCTGAGTCCCAGCTGCTCCACTTCCGATCTGTCTCCCTGCTAATGGCCTGTGAAAACCAGGAGACAATGGCTGAACTGCTTGGGCCCCTGCCGTCCACATGGGAGACCTAGAAGCAACTCCTGGCTTCAGCCTGGCCCAGCCTTAGCCATTGTGGCCATCAGCAGAGTAAACCAGCGAATAGAAGATCCCTCTGTGTGTGTGTGTGTGTGTGTGTGTGTGTGTCACTCTTTGTGTAACTCTAAAATTTAAAAAGAAAAAATCTGAGCCAGCGCCATGGCTCTATAGGCTAATCCTCCCCCTGCGGTGCTGGCACACTGGGTTCTAGTCCCGGTCGGGGCACGGGATTCTGTCCCGGTTGCCTCTCTTCCAGGCCAGCTCTCTGCTGTGGCCAGGGAGTGCAGTGGAGGATGGCCCAAGTGCTTGGGCTCTGCACCCCATGGGAGACCAGGAGAAGCACCGCCGCAGAGCAGCAGCCACTGGAGGGTGAACCAATGGCAAAAGGAAGACCTTTCTCTCTGTCTCTCTCTCTCTCTCACTGTCCACTCTGCCTGTCAAAAAAAAAAAAAAAAAAATCTGAAAAAGAAAGAAAAGGAACTCCTACTTCCAGGAAGGTGGAAAAGAGGCAGTTTTCCCTACTCCTCCTACCAAGCACAACCAAAAATCCCTAAGCGTCATGTGTAAAGCAAGCATAAAGGCAATGAGGAAGAGAGAGAAGAGGAGAGACAGCCAGAGACAGACCTCAGGGCCCAAGCAAGACATGGTGATGAGTTAGCTCCCTGGTAGGAGCAGAAGAAGTCAGCAACCCAGACACACACAAAATGCACACAGCAGAGCTCAAAGCAAACTTGCCTGCTCCCTCCAGTGCAAGAAAGGAAAGGGGTGTCCTGGCACAGCAGAAAATCTCTAGGAAAACTGCTCCAGGCCAGTCTCCACGTATGTACGTGTGTATTTTTTCCATGTAAATAAAAGCCTTTCTGGGGGCCAGCTCATAGCACTACAGGTTAAACTGCCACTTGCAATGTGGGGGATCCCTTATCAGAGCACCAGTTACAGTCCTGCTTGCTTCACCTCCAATGTAGTTTCCTGCTAATGGGCAGTGGATGACGGTCCATGTGCCTGGGCCCCTGCCACCCATCTGAAACCGGGACAGAGCTCCTGGATTCTGGCTTTGGCCAGTCCTAGCTGTTGTAGCCACTTGGGGAGTGAGCCACTGCATGGAAGATTTCTCTGCTCTCTCTCTCTCTCTGATAGCTCTGCCTTTCAAATAAACACATCTTTACAAACAACAGATTTCTGGCTGGGGAGAGCCTGCTCCTCCCAGGTAGCTGATCCTCAATGACAGCAAAGAACTCGGCCTGTTAGGCAGCTTCCCGCCACCTTCAACATCCCAGGGCCAGGTCCAAGGAGACAAGGGACCATGTCTAGGGATTAGAACCCCATGAGATTACTCAGACGGGCCAATCCTAACCTTGTTCCCCTGTCCTGCCTTGTGTTTCCTGCAGAAACCTCAATGAAGGCTCAAGTCTAACTCTCTCCTCTCATCCCCCCATCTGCCACAGACCTTCCTCCTGTCTCCGAGACTCACAAAATAAGCTTTATTTTTTATTTCTTTAAAGATTTACGGGGCTGGCACTATGGCACAGCGGGTTAAAGCCCTGGCCTGAAGCGCCGGCATCCCATATGGGCACCGGTTCACATCCCGGCTGATCCTCTTCCGATCCAGCTCTCTGCTATGGCCTGGGAAAGCATTAGAGGATGCCTCAAGTCCTTGGGCCCCTGCACCCACGTGGGAGACCTGGAGGTGGCTCCTGGCTTTGGATCAGCACAGTTCTGGCCGTTGCGGCCATCTGGGGAGTGAACCAGTGGATGGAAGACCTCTCTCTGTCTCTACCTCTCTCTGTAATTCTGTCTTTCAAATAAATAAATAAAATAAATCTTTAGAAAAAAAAATTTACTGGAGCCGGCACTGTGGCGCAGTAGGTTAATCCTCCAGTGCCAGCATCCCATATGGGTGCCAGTTTTAGTCTCAGCTGCTCCTCTTCCAATCCAGCTCTCTGCTGTGGCCTGGGAAAGCAGAAAATGGCCCTAGTGCTTTGGCCCTTGCAGGCATTTGGGAGACCTGGAAGAAGCTCCTGGCTCCTGGCTTTGGATCAGCTCAGCTCTAGCTGTTGCAACCATTTGGGGAGTGAACCAGCATACGGAAGACTTTTCTGTCTCTCCCTCTCACTGTCTGTAACTCTCTCAAATAGATCAATAAAATCTTAAAAAAAAAAATTTACTTATTTGAAAGGCAGAATTAGAGAGAACGAGCAAGAGCCACCTTCCATCTGCTGGTTCACTCCCTAAATGGCCACAATGGCCGGAGACTCTCCTGTGTCTCTTCTTGTGACCACAGTGGACTGCTCGTCACATAACAGAATACAAAAGACAGCCCAACACCACAGAAAAATTATGGCCCCACCTCTGCTCACACCAGCAAAAGCCAACATCCAGGTGCACTGCAGGGCCCCCCACCATGGGGACATGTCAGAAAAGGGGCGGGGCTGGGAGCCGCCTCCTCAGTGGTGTTGGCAAGGAGCCTGCGGGGAGCAAAGCCTGCCCCTAACCCACAACAAAGACTCACGTCTCCAGCCTCTCCTCTCCAACCCCTTGCCCCAGGGCCAGAGGTAGGACTTCCCCGCTTCCGCCATCACACAGAGGTACAAAGACCATGTGGGGAACAGAGCTTCACTCCTATGCAGCGAGAACAAGAAGCTCCAACTACTTCCTTGGATGCCAATGGAGGCCAAGGGGGAAACCAGACGCCTTCACCCAACAATTTCCTCTCTGCCTAAGCAGTGTCAGAGAAAGCTAGTTACAGCTAAACAGAAGTCAGATGAGATCAAGTGCCTTCTAACACTGAATAAAAATACCCAG